GTTACATTTTTGAGAGGACGCAATTTTATTTTTTGATGTAAGGGAGTGGTTACTATAAGCGTAAGTTAAAGTTTGTGGAGTTTCCCTCGCCCGAAAAAGAGGGCAAATGGTTTTCGCTCTGTATCTTGTAAATTGCTCTGTATCTTGTAAATGTAAATAAAAAATATACAGGCCCACCGATTCTAATCTCAGAAGTTCAGAAGACTATTGACCAAGCCAAACGAAGGAAGGCGTCTGGTCCTGACGAAATACCTGCAGAATTGTTAAAACTATTAGATAATGAGAGTGTTGCGATTATCACATCGTTCTTTAATAAGATATACAGCAGCGGCAAATTACTAAACAACTGGTTAGAATCGATATTTATAACTATTTCTAAGAAAAAGAATGCCAGACAGTGTAGCGACTATCGAATATCAGTTTAATGAGTCACACGCTCAAAATTTTTATGAAAATGTTGCATTGTCGCATATATAAACTTTGTGAGGGGATAACTGGTGATGAGCAGTTTGGTTTCCGAAACGGTATGGGTACTCGAGAAGCTCTTTTTTGCATGCGAATACTCTTACAAAAGAGCATTGAGTTTAGGAAAAATATTTACGTATGTTTTATAGATCTCGAAAAAACCTTTGATAGAGTACCACTTACATTATTATTTTAATGCTTAGACTCAGTTGGTCTGGACACGTATGACATTAGATTGCTCAAAAATCTTTACTACAATCAGACCGCTTGTATTAAGGTGGACCAAGAGGTTTCAGCTAAAGTTTCTATTAAGCGTGGTGTCATACAGGGATGTGTTATGTCACCGATGTTGTTTAATGCCTACACTGAATCAGTTTTTGAAATAGCGTTAAATAATCGCCGCGAAGGTGTTAAGATCGGTGGTAAAATTATTAATAACATCAGATAAGCCGATGACACCGCAATTGAGAGAAAACAGCTCATATGCTCATATGGTATGGGCATTATGGGCATGTGAGCCGAAAGATTGCCTAAAAAAACGATGATGTGGCAACCCCCAGAGAAGAGGAAACGAGGAAGACCACCACAGAGCTGGAACCTGGGAGTTACAAAAACGATTAGCACTCGAAATCTGGACGAAGACCTAACTCAAGACAGAATACAGTGGCGTTTGGGAGTCAGGCAAGGTCGTAAGACGTTATAAAACCGAATATATATATGTATATATACATATATATATATATATATATATATATATATATATATATATATATATATATATTATATTATATATATATTATATATATATATATATATATATATTATATTATATATATATATATATATATATATATTATATATATATATATATATATATATATATATATATATATATATATAGAACTCGCACGGAAAAACTTTATTAACTGGCGTTCTGTATTATGCAGTAGAAGTCTGTCGTTAACCACACGTCTAAGAGTATTGAAGTGCTACGTCTCTGGTCCACTTTGTTCTATGGATGTAAAACCTGGACAACAAAAATAAAAAATCTTAATAAATTAGAAGCATTTGAGTTATGGTGTTACCGTCACATTCTCAGAATACCGTGGACAGCACACATATCTTAACGAACGTGTGCTAGAGGACCGTGCACAAAGATCGAGAATTGATCAACATCATCAAGATGAGAAAGGTCCAATACTTCCTTTATACTTGAAAGAATCGTCCAATAGTTGAAAGAATCATTTCATCAGCTTGTCAATATGACGATAGCCAACGCTTCAATACAAGCACGGCACACAAAGAAGAAAGATCTTGTAAATTAGCCACCCTACATAAAATTTTATATTAACAACCCTACATAAAATTTGTAGAATTAATTTTTTTACAACTTTGTTGGTATTACATTATTCGGAAAATTAAAAATAAAAATGTTAAAAACAAAAATAGCTAGAAAATTTTTGATCAAATTTTCTTTTGGGCCTTATAATTTTTTTCGTTTCATTTTACAATTAAATGGCATCAGATCAATATTATAGAGGTTTTATTATAGAGGAATTTTTACTATGAATTTCTCTGGATTTTACAGCGCTCCGAAGTTGGTTTCTTGAATACACGCCATCTTGGAATAGGTTCAAACGGTTTTCGTGCTGTATCTCGTAAACTTGCAACCCTACACAAAATTGTATTTAACATTATTTATAGTAAATTGTCTTTAACTTTATTTCTAGTATTGTTTTATCGGAAAATGGAAAATAAAAAAGTTATTAACAAAAATAAAGACAGTTAGGATTTGATTTCACGTATAGTGCCTCCGTATACTCGCTTATACGTATTTCATCCCAAAAGGAATCTTTGGAGCGACTATTCACAGAAGCTCTGAACGTGAAAACAATCTTTCCTGTCGAAAAGGAAGCAACAATAAAATGGCTTCACTATGGACGCAATAGCGACATCTGATATTAAATCACGAACTATAAATCCGAAGATTTCTAATTGACGAAACCAAAATACAGATTTCTGCTTTAATCTGTGTCTTCTAAGAATTGCAAAGCAAACAGATGTTAATAAAAGTGTAATTAGAGAAAATGGGGAATCTAAAATTACATTCCACAACATATATATTCAACTAAGCAAAAATCGGTTTCTCGTACTCATAAAGAGTATATCGAAATAAAAAGAAAGACGGTTAAGATGTGATTTCACATATAGTTCCTCCTTATATTAGCTTATACGTATTTCATTCTAAAAGGAATCTTCGGAGCGGCTATTTACAGAAGCTCTGAACGTAAAAACAATATTTCCTGCCGAAAAGGAAGCAACGATAAAATGGCTTCATTATGGACGCAATAGCGACACCTAACATTAAGTCACGAACTAGAAATCCGAAGATTTCTAATTGACGAAACCAAAATCCAGATTTTTGCTCTAATCTGTGCCTTCTTAGTAACTCTAATCTCTCTGTTTGCCTTGCAATTCTTAGAAGGTACAGATTAAAGCAAAAATCTGGATTTTGGTTTCGTCAATTCGAAATCTTCGGATTTCTAGTTCGTTATTTATTAACAAAAATATCCAAAAATTTTTGAACAAATTTTTTTTGGAACATTTTTTCTGGTCATTTTACAATAAAAAGACATCAGAGCAATATTATAGAAGGTTTTCAACGAATAATTTTCACTACAAATGTGTTCAATTTAATTAATTTCTGTGGGTTTTACAGCACTCCCGAAGTTGACCGAGTTCTTGAATACTTAAAATAACAAATAAGAATACGATAAAAACGAACCGTCAGACTTTTATTCATATCCTATCTATATTTTTATTCATATAATTTATTATTTTGTTAACATTCCTATGGAATTATTAGTTTCTTTTTCTTCTTTCTTTCTTTCTTTCGACCTTTTTTTCGATCACCTAGGCTTTATCTATTTTTATTTAAAAAAGACTTGCTTGTGCCATCTTAGAATTTAGATTTGACTCAGACTGTTCTTAATGACAAAATTAAAAAATATAATATTATTTATAATGTATTTTTATGCTGATAATAAATAATAATATAAATAATAACAGCCAAAAAGATCGCCAAGTACAGGGATCTGGAAATTCAAATACGAAGACAGTGCAGAATAGAAAGTACCCAGACAATACCTATTATTCTCTCTGATACTGTAGTCATTCCGAAGAACCTCCTAGAAAACATAAAAAAGCTAGATCTGAGTGAACATGTCTACAGACCTTGCAGAAAGCTGTACTACTACCAACGTCCAGATGTGTACAAAAATTTTTGTGAGATATTTCAGCATACCAAGTCACCTAGGACTCGATAACACGGAAAAAGTCTCACCAGGGCTTAATCCTTTTTGATGCCGTAGGTATCTGGGATGAGTGAATTTTTCCCTTTGAGGGAGTGAGAGCCGTAAGGCTAAATCTGGATAAATAATAATAATAGTAAAACATGTGATAAAGAAACTAAACCTGAAACTAAAGAAACCTTATGTTCTCAAATTGTAGTCACTTTTTCAAATGAATTTTTTTTTATTCTAAAAAATTTGTTAATGTATCTCGATTAAAATAGTGTTTCCCGTAATTTAAAATCCCGTAAAATCGACAAATAGTAAAGAGTCGTGAAATCCGGCTTTAAAATTTAAAAAAGAAATGGAAATTATCAAGTCTTTAAAATGTTCAGTGAACTATTCAAACATTAGCTACAGCGTCTATACTGGCATTGTATTACTTTTTTTCTCTGCAGTAAAATGCTGAGGCGATCGTCACGGAACTAGCGCCACAAGATGGCGTCGTCACGGGTAGTGTAATAGAATAGCGGTTCTTGACATCGATACACTATTCTCGATCAATTCCTTTGTAGTCATCAAGTTACTCTTAACAGGTTAAAATTAAAAACTGCATAAAACAGTCATAAATGTCATCCAATTAATAACAACATTGAATGATCTGTTTAAATTTTTATAATAATTCCCGTTTTAAAATAATTTTATATAAATACAATTATTATTTTTAAACATATTAATATTTGGTCTAAATTTGACAGGTTTGTCATAAGTAAACATGCTTTGTTAATACGTTAACAGATGGAGTTAGGAGCAAGCATAATAATTTATTGAAATAATGTTTTTAAATTATAATTATTTTTTAAAATATACATGATAAATAAATAACAAAATTACTTTATTAAATTTTTAATATATTATTTAAATTTTAAAAATACAGAAAGCATAGTATGAAGCTTCACGCTAGTTTACAGTACCGTGTACTGCTCCGCTTTTTTTACATCAGGTATCGGTATAATTAAGGTATTTTCAAAATTTCGGACTACTGTTTTATCAGTATACATCTTGTTTTTATTATATTTTTATTTTATTCAAGGTAAAAAGAAAACGAATTTTAAACTTCGACTTCAAAGACGAGACATTAATAAAGTTTTTGTTTTCGTTATTTATTTACAATAAAAAAATGAAATTCCACAGACAAACTATTTTCCAACAACGTATTTACATGTGTTTTTTTTTTCATTTCAGTATCTCCAAAAGTAAAATGTACTCCAACGCAAATGAGGGTGGAGGTACCAATCTCATCCACCACAATGTCGGTCTACATCCAAGGTTTGAGGGACTATCCTGATCCTGCTTGTCGGCCTCATACTGACTCAACTGGATCCTTAGCTATACTAGAACTTGATCTGAAAGATGTTTACAGATGCGCTGTTACTAGAGCTATCAACAAACAAACGGTGAGAACTTTTTAATTGATTTTTGATACAATCAATTTTGTTGTAAGCATCATGAAACTTGTATTGGGTTTGTTTTTAAAGGTTTGGTTGGAATGATTAAAATAACCGTTTTTCAAAAATACCTAATATAACTTTTTAAGTTTGTTTTAAAAGCACCTATTTTTAATGACATATACAGTATATTCCTAGCTTATAGACTGTTATGTTTAATTATTTCTTCCTGGCGTTTCGTCTGCGATTGCAGCAGATATTGTTGAAGCCAAATCGTCTTAAAAAAAACCTGGTTACTTGGAATAAAGAGCAATATTAATGACCAAAATGTTGACACAAACATCCTAATTTCCTAAGTTAAGAAAATATACGAAAAAACAGAAGCACTTCCTCACGACTATAGGGGAAATGTGCCTATGATGGAACTTCTTTAGAAAAAAGCCGCATAATAATTTTTATTAAGTTATTTCTATAATATGCAAATGTTTCAAATTTTTATAAAAATTAAGATGACAAAAGTTATTCATAGTTTACTAAAATCCTGTTAAGGGTCCATCCGTCTTCTTCAAAAGAAGATTTACAATCGTCTTCAGAACTGTTTGTAGTTGAAACACGAACTTGCCTTTTCACTTTTCCTGTCTCTTGTTTTCTTTTTTTTTGCTTCTTTTTCTGCAATTTTTTGTTTTATATCATCAATTTCTGGCGTTGAGTGTAAATATCCTGTTTTACACTATTTTCTACCCCTTTTCTGAGTTACTTCAGATACTCCAGCTAAAGGATGAGGATAAATATCTTCGACCGAGATGTTTAGGACTGACGATGATATTGATTTATGATCAGTGATTTTTGATAAACCTTTAATCGAAGAAACATTTTAGTTCCGATGTTCCGGTAGTGAGTTCTCGTCAGAACATCCTGGTAGTGGTTTTGTCCATAATTTTCTCTATCTGTTGTTATAGACGGCAAAAATTGCCAATCCTCGAAGACATCTGGATTGAACGGTTCTATTCCTGTCTTTTTAAATGCATTTATTGCACTTTTTAAATATGCTCTCTTAAAGATACTGGCTCTTTTAAATTGAGTAACTGTTTTACCTGGATTCTGTCGTAGCCACAATTGAATTTCTTGGCCGTAGTGAATTTGAAGTGGCTAAAAATCCTACATCCATGGTTGAACGTGATGAGATCAGTGAGCAGGAAAACAAAACATAATAATACCGTTTTCTTTTGCAAACTGGAGAGCTTCAAAACTTTTTATGACTACCATGACCATCGAGTAACAACAAAACTTAGTTGGTTTTAGAAGCCTTTGAATACCTTAAAAAATGTTGCAGTCAGAGACAGAAAATGTCGGAAATCATCATTCAGTCCTTATTTCTTGAGCTAAGGCTACACTTCCAGTAGGGGCATCGATCATAAGTTTTTCCTTCTTTCCCTGTCGAGGAAAAATCAAAGCAGGAGGAACATATGTTCCAATTGCATTCATTGCACATACGACCGTAACATGTAGACCGCGCTCTGCACTACTTAAAGCACCAACTTGTTTGCGACCCTAATATATGTGCTAATGCTGTAAAATATGCACATATATTTGGTTTATTAAAAGCTTGAGCCCTTGGCAACGAAGTATTTTCTGGAGTTTGTAATGATATTCGAGGATTTCGCTTTAAAAAGCCTCTGACCCATTTCCATCCTGCCATCTTTGTTTCCTTATTAAAACTGTGGCTAATATTGTTTCTTTTAGCTACTTCGTATACAAGTTTTCGTTAAATCTTTACTGGTCAGGCCAAAAAAATGAGCTTCCTCGGTGATAATATGGTCAGCAATTTCCTTGTCAATATTAGTGGATAATATTGGTCTTCGTCCTCCCAAATCACCTTTGGTACTTCCTTGTTGTCGTTTTTGGAATGTTAAATGTTTTTGCTGCCAGCTTAAACCCCATAGTTTTTTCTTGTATGCTTTTTAAAGCTTGCTGCATATTACTCTCATTCCACTGTTGCCTTTTATGAGGATCCTTCCCTGTAAAATGTATTATGTTAATCGTTAAGTAGCAACTCATTTCCTTTTTCCTATGATGGACCCCTAGTCCGTCATAGGTAACGATAAAGGGGTCCATCAGAGGCAAATAGACAAGACAGTAAATTTAATTCTGTTACTTTTGTTTTGACCATTCTAACCTAAAACAAAGTATAGTATTTGACAAAGAAAGTATAGTTATTTTATACAAAACAAAAGCAACACTTAGCTTAACGTATGTTATCAGTGAAATATTACTTACCTAAAAATTTTATTAGATCAGAAACGCAAAATTTTAATTTTATTTGACAAATTTACTGTTATAACCGCCACGGGTCTGAAACTTTGCAAGTATGTATGTATGTACAAGTATGTATGTTTGTAATACTTGCAAAGTAAATACTTTGCAAGTATTACAAACTTCGGCGATGTGCATGTAACCGTGCCATATTTGAAATTACAGGAGGGGGTCCATCATAAGCAGGGGTTCAACATAGGCACACTTCCCCTACAGCCTTCGTAAAATACATAAGGAAAATATTGAATTTATTATTAATTCAATTCATGTCAAAATGTGAAATTCTGTAGTATTTTGTAATTAAGTATATTCATACAACATAAATCAAAGTTTACTTTTAATTTATTGATCGATTAATTATTCAATATTAATTAAAAATCGAAAGCGGCCATCATACAAGAGTCATCTGTCAAATGAGATTTTTATATAAACTATTATAAGAATGCGAACCGGTCATTGTTCAACAAGTCAACATCTTTTCAAACTAAATTTGGTGGACAACCCTTACTGTGAATGTGGCCTAATAGAGAACCTAAATCATATATTTTTTGAATGCCCCATAAGGATCATTGAAAGTTTTGACCTATACACAAAATTCATTTATATGAATTATAATTCACCAATTACTATATATTCTATATTAAATAAACTTACTGAAGAATCAGTCAGCATTTTGATAAAATTCCTTTCAATTAATAAATTAAATTTGTAATCGACAATGCTCAATACTTTTTGAAGTGTTTACTAATATAACCCTATTAACTATTAATGAATTTTTTCTACAAAATTATTTGGCACAAGTAAGTGGCCTCGAGTTGGTTTAGAGCCAGACTTTATCGGGGTCACCACCAAATTGAGCTGGCGTATCACCATGACGTGGAAGCCATAGAAACAAAAGAAGAAGAAGAAATACTGACATTGTCACTGTCATATGATATTTTTATTTTGTCTAAATTTAAAATTTCTTTAAATGGTAAGGATTATTTATTTTTGGCTGGCGATAAAATTTTGTATGCACTTTATCGAACTCGTCTGTTGTTCGCCTCGTTAGCTTCGTTCGCTTTGCTCATAATATCAGACTCGTTCGATAAAGAATTATTAATGGTGAATCAAAATCACGTAGAAATATTACTCTTTGTGTCACTGAAAAAAAATTAAACAAGCGACCTCTTGAACCTTATTTTGAGTTATCTCATGAAAGTGGTTATGCAAAAAAATTTCATGGGAATATTTTTACGAACGAATACAAGCTTTCCTATCTCTCGTCTTATCTAACAAAACTTGCAAATATATTTGAATGACTGAATGAGTGGTAAACAAATTTATGAACTGTTTAAAATTATTTCTTAAAAGAGAATAACAGCAAAATTTTGTAACGGCTGCATAACATAAGAAAATATTAATCTAAATCGGTACTCCATTAAGCAAAAAAGCTTTGATATTCGCCAATCATCATTCAATTTGTTCTAAAAGGGAAAATAAATAGTAAAGCAATGTATCTTGCTGTATAGCTTAAGAAATAATCCCCAATAATCGCAAACTTCCGGAGTAAACACGTTAGAAAGAAGAAAAGACGACCCCAGTAGAACAAATATTTCATTTTAATCTTGTATAATTATACTTTTAAGATAATTCCATACATTTGATCTTCTACTAGTAGTCGGCAGTATATCTAACAGTATTATTAACAAAAAACTTAGAAGAATTATGCTTCAAGTAATTTAAGATTTCACATGAAAATAACTTCCTCTTTTACAGTCTACATTAAAGTAAATTACGAGGGAGGTTTTAGAAATTACTATCAGTTTGTAAGCACAGCTGAGCACATTGAACTTAAACGAATGAAACTTATCGTCACCCTAATTTGAAAAACTCGTAACTCCAAAACGACAAGTTGTTCAGGAGACGAAAAAATTCGAATTTCGAATAAATTTTGCGATTCTGTCAAAATTAATCGAACATTGTAAAATAAAATAATATATACTTCATCTAATTTACATACCGATGCACGTCATTATCTACGTCAGAGATCGAAGTTGACATAGTTGCCAAAATATAAAAAAATCCTGAATCCATTTTAAATCAAATAGATCAAATAATTATTGCAAAAGTATTACCATCTCTTTACAACGACTATTTAAATTCTTACGTGACATTTTTGAAAGAAAACACACTAATTTTGTTCTAAAAAAAACAGATTTTATTAAGTAGGTAAAAATATAAAACAAGAGGTATTCACTTTAAAATTCAAAATAATAAAGTACAAAGAGTGTCAACACCGCAACTGTCTAATAAGTGTTACCAATTTATGCCAAAATTTCACCTTCGTTCGATTACAGTTACCGTGTGTTTCGAACAAATGTTCTTCATAAAAACGCTTTATAGTGCATTTGTACAAATTAAATGAAACATATTATTGTCTATTTCTTCAAGTTAACATTAATAGAAATCTTTAAATATTAATTCTAAGCGTATATAATAAAATATGTCTAGTGACTGTAATGCCAGTGTACTCGGCAAAGTAATTCTAAAAAAGGACACACCTACCACCTAAATATTTCGTGTTGGTATCATGTGACGTCACGGGCTATGACGCCGATGACGTGCACTGGTATATAAATTAGATAAAGTGTACATGGTGTTGTGGAGACTCACTTTTAAAATGTATACTAAAGTTTGGGGAGTTACGAGGTTTG